CCAAGAAACAACATGACACCTTCAGAAGAAAACCAGCTTAAGGCTTAGTAATTCTCTTAATTCACTGAATTTATTCTGTTTCCTTATAATGAAATTAGGCAACTCATGTTTAGTACAGCAGCTAAAGAAACACCTTAAAGGAGGAAAACAAAGCACACAGGTGACTCAGTCTGGCTGTGAGTGCTTGGGCAGGAAAGGCCCCCTGCTCTCATGGGAATTAATGCAGTCATGGTTAATGTACACAAGGTTTAAACCTCTCCATTTATCCCCTGCTCTTCCCAGCCACTCAGACCTAGAGACCTCCATGTTCTTCTGAGAGCTCAATTTCACTGAGCACAATCACATCTGTGTAATTTCTGTTCTTCTGGTGCCTTCAGTTCCTTGGCTGCTCCTGCTCCTCAGCCACACAGTCACTGCAGTCTGGCTAACAGACTAATGGTGGTGGAAACCAATCAGATGCTGAACTTAAAAGTGGCTCTATTACCCTGTTATGTTTTTACTGATTGTTTTTATTGCCCATGTAGCTCTCAGTAGTCTCTGATGAATTTAGATGCACCTAAATTTGGTCTAAACTTGACCAGTACCACTGTACAAATTAATCACTTTCCACTGATTAGCTAGGTAAGCTCACAATCACCAACAGGACTGTGGATATGAGTCAGAGGAAGGTAGCTGAGAAAGTCTCCCAAGTGGTTCAGGGGTCTAATCTGAAACATCATGTTTGCCTTCACATTAAGAAAATTGGGTTCTTACATCAGGTGATTTGTGGACCACAAGTATTCCTAGTATTGAAAAGATAAAGTGTATTAGAACAAAGAGGTCCTGGTTTACTCCTCCAAGAGGCTCAGAGTTCACACAGTTTCTGCAGGCAGGGCTATGTATTGTCATTTGTTGAACTGTAATGGCTTTCTAATGTCTGGGTCCTTCAGGCTCATTTTAAAATGTTTTAACATGGCACTGCAAATAAAATATTAAGTCTCACCTCTTTTGAAATTGTTGAACTACAGTTTTAATTTTGTTCTCAGGAAAGAAGTTCTTAAACATTTGCCAGTTCCTCATGAAATTTAGTGAAGCAGTCCAGGATATGAATGAAAGCTATCTACTCCCATAAAAGCAAGTATCTGCTAATTAATGCTGTATGAATTGAAAGAACTGCAAAAGAGACATTAACAGCAAAATAACTTTGATGTGGCCTCCTAGAGCCTAACAGTACAAAATAAACTTAATTCATGTCAAAACAATAGCATGAGAAGTAAATGGTATTTTGCTGAGAAGAAATGACCAAGTACAGGAAATTTCCTCTGGGAAAAGTCCATACAACACACATTGCACGTGCAGTCAGGGAACATGCACAGCAGTAACAGCCAAGTAATTCTCCTGCATTCTAAATTTAAAATATTGTGTTTGATCCTGGATATCCTGCAGAATCCCTCAGTATGGCAAGATGTCTTTCAAGTGTTGCCAGGGTGTATGTCTCAGGTCATGACTGAACACAAGAGGGACTGATAAAGATATTATTCAAACAGGGGCCCAATAATAAATAGTGTTAGTGCTTTTTGGACTATTGCCTTGAAAGGCTCACTGTTTCTTCCAGAAATTTAAATCTGGAGTTTTAGTAACGCAGCTTTAGAATAGTTCCAAGGATGTGAAGAATTATCTGGCTGAATGATGGCAGGGAAGGGTACAAAGAGAGCATGGAGGGTCTCTTTCCTTGGTGCTAACTAAGAATTGATGAAACATTGTGGATCACAGGCAGGTCTCTTTCACTGGTCAAAAGAAAGGTCAGAAGAGAGATACTGATATATGACAGCTGCTTCCTTTATCAGCTTAAGAAAAGGCTTTTGAGGAAATATTTTCTAGAACTGTCAAATGAGCTCTTTAACTGCTTCACTGAATTCTCCCCACAGGCTTGTTACCCAAACAGCCAACATAATTAGCAAGCAGATGATTCTGCAACTTGTACCAAAAATTTTCTGTAAAAATTGGGCTGGCTACTCGGACAGAATATAAACACAATTCCATGGGGACATCTGGGACAGTGGCACTCCCCAGAGAGGGTCTGCTCTTGAAACAGGTGCAGCTGAGGGAAAGAGTGAGCTGTGGGCTGAAAAGTCAACAGAGTTAGGGGAAAACTTGCAGTGAAGTGACATGAATGCTAAAGATGTGACTGGAGGCTTTGGTCTTGTTTTTAAACTGCAAGTGTTTTAACTGAAGGGAGATGAGTATCTTTGTGGCATTTGATATTTTCCATATTGAAAATGTACCTGGGGACCCAAAGCAGGTGAGTGAGAGGAGGTGGGTGCCCATGCTATGGCTTCTTATTGGACTGTCTGCGCCATATCACTGAGTGGAGGAAATGAACATAACCTGGTCTCTGCAGAAGTATTTGTCATTTGTGTAGATGCTAGTTTGTGTCTAATGGCATCATTCATCATCCAAGAGGCATGAGGTAGTTCATCATCTTAGTCTGTGGAGAATTGAAGACATTTGTCTCTAGGACAGAAGTCATTATTTGAGGGGAGACTCTTTGGGCAACATCTTGAATTTAAAGTCCACCTATGCAATCATGCACTGTGTATTGTCTTTTCCATTCAGGTTATTTCTGGTAATAAGATCCCTACTTCCTTTGGTAGGACTTTTGTCTTCTGTACAGATTGCAAGTTCTTTACCTAGAAAACCTCAGAAAAAGGTGGCAATAGTGCAATGTAGTCCTGAGCTATAAATACTACATTAAACCCAAGTTAAACAGTAATAGAAATAAAAATAATGCAGTAGGTAGTTGCCTTGGAAGTCAGTACTAAAAACACAATCAAACCCAAACACACTGGCTAAAGCTGATTTATTCCCTTGTTTGGTAGCTTTGCTCCTATGTCAGAGCAGAGTGGTGAGGAAATGTAACTTTTCCTGCATGGGATGGTGCTGATGTGTCACAACTGAACATTGGTGGAGGTTTTAGCATTTCCAATCATGAACCAACCAAACAATGTGTAAAGTGACAACCTATTAAAGCTCCGGGTTAAACAGCCCCTACAAGTTTCTAAACTTGATATTTACATCTATGCTGAGAAGCTTTTGAGCCATGCCAAGACAGTGACTGAAGCAGCTGAATTGTTGAAAAATAGGCTTTAAAACAATGGATTCTCATGAAGTTTGGCAAACAATAAAAATGAGATTAACTGAGAAGTTGGTGGGATTACTTTTTTGAAGCCTTCAACATATTTTCACTATTTAGCCTCTTGTGTAATTACAGCATTAGAACTGCAACATTTGGAATTCCTTTCTTATTGAAATATATTTAATAACAGGGTTTAAGCAGCTATTGGCCATCATCTGGGCCAGAAAATAAGACTTCCTTTATAATTAGAAGAAAGTATTCTTTGGGTTTAAATCCCTATTTAAATACAACTGTTTGTCACAGAGACTCTTGAAGAGAAGGACAACACTTGATTCATTCTGAAGTATTGAATATGTTGGAGGAAGAGAATGAATAAGGAGAGAAATTTCCCTTTCATTATTTTGAACAGAAATCAATGTTAAATGGAAAAAGCCCAAAAGCACTTGGCACTTTAGAACTTGGCTATTTTAAATCAGAAAACAACTCAACAAAAATTGTTTTATAAATAAAAAAAGCCCATGTATTTAAAAGGTCTTTTTTTAAAAAAGAGGAAGCACTACACACATTTAAAAGACAAGCTCAACTGAATGTATAGAGACAAAAAAAATCAGAGGTAATGTCCAGAGGTAACTCTGCGTTGGATCCAGCAGAGAAGCTACTGCCTCTGCAAATTAATGTAGACCCAGTGATAAATAATCACAAGAACTAACTCAAAGCTACTGAATGTAGTGATCACTTGAAAGGTACTACAGTGACAAGTGACCACAGAATAAGAACAGCACCCAAATGCAGAGTTTGTTCTGTATCTTCTACTTTGCATAATACTACTAGAGAACAGAGCTGGAATAGGTTTAGAGAGCTAAACATACTTTTAAAGTAGTTAACAAAAATCTTGCTACGTTTTGGTGGGTGAATCCTGGTTAAATGATAATATTTTCACAGCAGGGGAATAAAACTAGATTGTTTTTTGTGCCACTTGGTAATTCTATAATTTTAAAATTATCCCTCATGTATTTTACATTCTTTATTTGGAACAAAATACAACAAAACGATGAAAGTCTGTCTCTTTGGATGTAACTTTCATGCTTAGCTGGAAAAGTCTACAGAATGTGGATCATATGATAAAGCCATTCCAATTGTTGATATAAGGGAATATTTCTTTAATGAAGTACACTGGTATTAAGCTGTGTTCTGCACTAGTAATTGTAACAGGAATTCTCTTCCTGCTGCTCTTCAGCTTCAGTGCAATCAAACTGGTCAAAAAATGGCATGGACGTGTACAGCAAAGACAATGTTCTTCACCAAGAGAAGGAACAAATAACAAACCACTGAAAATGAAGCACTTTCAGAAGGATGCAAACTCACATCCCAAAGGACAGTATGGCAAGAAAGCTAGTGACATGAGGACATTGTTAAAGTTGCTCTTTTTGTCATAACTGAGGTGTTCTCTTTCCTTAGATCTAGACTGCTTAGGTGTTGTTCCTTTAAATAGGTTGTGGCATGATTATCTGAAGAAGTTATTACTGTCAGAAAAGCTTGATTCACTTCTTCACAATAAAAAAGCACTTAACTTATGCTGATTGTTCTTTTCCTCTGCTCCCCCCTCCTCCACTTCTGCCTATAGCAAAACTCACAAGTTTTGGTCATGTAGGGATCTCATGGCACCAAAGGATGCAAGAAAACTTAAATGGAGTCTTTAAAGATCATTTGAAGCCAAGTAATAGAAGGGAGGCATTGACAACAGAGAGCAGATGTCTTCCCTCACAGAGTCAGTAGATAAGCTCTGGGCCAGCCTGGTCCAAGCATAAGTGAGGGAGCTTTGAACTTGACTTTTCTGTATTCTCAGTTTAGCTGAATGTGGGCTTTTTCCTTGGTCTGTTGGTTGTCATATTGTTAGCCAGTGCTGGAGCTGTAAGGAAACAGAAGAGGTTGTTAAATTACATCATTGATTCGAATGATGATGCTGACTGATACATTTTTTGGACAAATCTAGAGTTACAAAGAAGTTTCAAAATAATGGATAGATTTCCACTCTGTAACTAAGTCTCTATGCAGTCCAGTTTGCAGTGGGAAATGTGATGAATGTAAAGGCTACTTAGTCAGATCTCAATTCAGTTTAAAGTTCAGAACTGCCAGACATGGGAATAAAATATTTATATTTGTTTGGTTACAGTAGGCAGTGTTTTCTTTACAACCCTAAACATTGTGAGTAAATCACTAAATCTGCTTTAGCACTTACAAAGCCATTCCTGCCTGTTCATTGAAGATGGCAGCAAATTAAAATGCTCTCATATTTAGCATGATTTGAGGTAACCTTGGTGGTTTACTTCTGAGGGCAGCCTTTAATAATTCATTGAAATTAATTTGCCACCATTTGGTCATAGATTTGTGTTCAGAAGACCAGCACTGTGGCGTGACTGTTTATAGCCCTTTCACACAGGAACATCTGCCCCTGGAAACATTGAGTAACAGCAGGAACAGTAAATCATCTGACAACTGAGGGCAGAAACAGAAGAAAGAGAAGGCAGGAAGAGGTGTTGTGCTATTTTATATTCTTGGCTGCATCAAATAAATTGTGGTCATGAAACAGGAAGCCTATTTGTGCTTTCATTCTGTGTCCCATAAATCTACACAGATTATTTCCTTTAAAAGCCAAAATTTACTTCAAACAATACCTTTCAGAATAAGCAAAAGCCAGATTTATTTTTTCAGTATCAACATACAAACCACCACTATAAAATCTGGGTCACATTTTGTGGAGGTGTGCATAATTCTAGTTGCTTTCAACTTTGAAGAGAGAAAGTGGTCTAGCATGAATGCTGATGAGTGTAACAGGCTTCACATTTGCATCCTTTTAATCTTCTACATAAAGGAGTTTATTGCAATAAGCTCATTTTATTTGCTAAAAGGAAAGCAGTGTTTGGAAACCTATAGCATATTTTTCATGGCTTATGAAGTCTCCAGCAGTGTTTTCAATCAACTCTAGTCCTGTGGGGAAAGCCAATTCCATGTAACCTGGTGCATCGTTTTATGACATAGGTAAGCTCTGACACTGGATAATTTTTGCTGTTTATTATGTTTTGTGGGACATAATTGCTGTTTCGGAAACGTGATTTCAGCTTGCTGTGCAACAATTGAGTGACAGGCCATGACCTCTTCAAATGCACATGACAGTTTGGAATTAGCTTTGTTTATTGGTGGCATCTCACTGTATTTGAGCACAGCCTAAAATGCCAGATTCAGGTGATGTGTAAAACTGAGAGCTCTCCTTAGGCAAAGAAGAAAGGTTGATGCATGTGGTACTAAGTTTCCTGTGTCTTGTTGTGCTGGCAGAAATAAAGAGCTACAGACCTGCTAAGGCATCCAGCACGGGGAGATTTGTGCAAAGCTGTAGTTGCTGCTAAAGACAGGAAAGGGTTGGAATCAGGAGAAAGAAGCATGTGAAAGTTGTACTAACCTTAAACTGCCTGACATTTCCTTGGGCCACGAGTTGGTGCTCATTTTCAGGTGTGATGCAGTAAGCCAGTCTCTAAACCAGGCAGGAAGAGGAGGAAAAAGTCAGCCATATGAAGTGGGATTATGTATGTAATCCCCAATCTATAGTGGGGAAGTAGCATGAACTTTATTTAAAATGGTAACTTAAATCTTTAATATCACTGCATCATGTGCCTTTGCTCAGTCCCTCAGAGAATAAGCCTATTATAAGCCCTTGGGTGTTAGCCTTTAATATAAGAAGCAACAGTAGAGTTTATGCAAATACTAAGTCCAAATATTTAGTGAGTGCATATAGAAAAGAATATCAGGAAAAAGTTGGTATCACAGGCCTTAGATCCCCTAAATTCATGCTTTTCTGTTAGTGCTGTAAGAGGTTTGGCCAGTCCCAGGGTGAGGGAGGAAGGAGGGACTGGGATTTCCCAGCTCATCCCCCTTGTCTACCCTGTGCTGAGCCCTTTGAGATCACACATAGATTTTGGTTTATTTGGAACTTTCAACCAACTTAAGGAGTTCCCATTAGATTAGGTTTCCTTTCCCCATCCCTTAAAGAGCCTCAATTTGGGGCATCACATATTGGAGCTAGTGGCTTGGATGTCATGTGTTATCCTTTTGCCATAGTGCTTGTGGGCAAAGTGGGGAGCTGCTCTTTGCAGGAGCACTGACAGACAAACCAGAACTTGCTAACAGTCCACATGCATGAGAGAATGTGATTTTGGCCAGAGGCTTCTGCATCCCCTGGTCAAAACTTGAGCAAGGGGGCAAAAGCCTGATGAGCCAGTACAAATTATTCTTTGAGACCTAAATTCTCCTGGAAAAATGTGTTTGTAGCCCTCCCTAGGATAGAACAAAACAAAGGGCTTATAGAGTTGCTGGAAATGAGATCTAGAAATTGTGCACAACATTGAGGTGCTAGAGCTGATGAAAACAGGGCAGCTGAGGAGTTGCAGCTTTGGGGCACCTTTCTGAGGTGAACATGACATGTGATGACTGTAATGTTTCAGAAACAGGACCTTTGTTCTTTTGGGTTCCTGGGTCAGTGTGAGGGGGATGTGCCCTATCTATTTTGCATGTGAAGGTTGAGACCCTATTTTCTGCTTAATTCTGTGTGTGGTGTTGGTTCAGTGATTTGCCTAAGAGCTTCAAAATCTTGCTACACCATTGTCTAAGTGTAGCTATAGGAAAGGAGAGCAGTAGAGCTTAGGTGTAAGTCAGTGGGTCTATACAAGGTTATAAAATCATGATGTGATGGGGAAAAAACCTGGTGCTGTATAATGGTGAGGAGCCTTCTGAGCACTGTTAGAGGTTTTAAGATTACAGATAATAGTGAGGGTATATAGACAGTGAAGGTATAGTTAATATGATGGTAAAAATGATATGGCTAGTGAGCCTTAATCATATGCCATTTTGAACTGATAAATAAAGAAACATACAGAACAGCTTGAAGACCAGACCTCATAGCTGAATGTGAAGATAGCATAATTTGTCCATTCTTTGTTGATAAACAAAAGTCTAATCTCATTAACTGGATCAATTACATTCATAAAAATAATTTTTCACAATTATTATGGTGCTGTCTGGAAAGCTAATTTCTGTCTAGAGACTCAAACAGAATGCAGTAATCCTACCTCAAACCACTGATCCACCTGACAGATGGATTCAAAAGGTCACTCATAAGTAATAAGTTTTGGGAGAGAAATAAACTGCCAACTTAGACCCAGCCATTTCATTTCCCAGCAACATTTCATGACATTTGATTAGTGTTGCACTTACTTCTTTAAAGGTCCCACGCACGTTCATGAATTTGTAGATGATGTAGGCAGGCACGAGGATCATGGAGGACAAGGCTATGCCCCAGCCAATGCGGTTTGCCCACAGAGGGAAGGTGTAGTCATCGTAGGTCAGAGGCTTGAAATTTATTATGCTGACTATCACCACAAACTGGAGAAGAAAGTATAAAATGAACCAGAGATTTCAGATGAAGAGCCTTACTGGAAGGGATTCCAGGTGTTCTAATAGGCAGCCACCCTAAAGTTTATTTCAAACCAGCTTTATAATTTACCTTCAGCCTGTTTACTTTGTGCCTCTTACTGCTTAAACTGTTGAAGTTCTTGATGTTTATTAGTATTAACAGTTCATTTTATCTACTGTGGATGCAGATTATTTGAAATTTTGGTGGGAAGATCCAGTCACTCAGACTGTCCACTACTGCCTCATTTGAACTAGTGTTTCAGATGTAGAAAAGTGATTCTGTAGTCAAGAAAAATCTATTGTTTTTACTTTCTTTGTTTTCCAGGAATATTAGACTTCCTTTAAGAGCTTTGAACCTATTTTTCAGCATGATACATGTACTGAGGAAAGGTAGAGCAGCCTTATGGCCTGGAAAACAAAGTTGCCTTTTTCTTCCTATGCTTCTCTGTCCAGTGCTAGATGCAAGAAGGAAAGAGTGGTGTTACCACCCTATTTCTGTCCTGTTAAATGCATGTGCATTTAACGTGCAGATATCCTTGATTTGGTTCTTTGGGGAGATATGTTCTGCTCTATATTTCAATTTCCAATTGAAAAATATTTTGAGCCTAGGATTTTAAAGACTACACCAGGATAGTGTGGGTTAAAGGAAGATCATAGTGCAGAATCTGGTTAGAAAAATACTAATTCTGTTTTGTGATTTTTCTTGGGATTATGTTCATAGTTGCAGACAATATGGAGAAAGAGAGCTTCAAGAACTTCCAGATGGAGAAAAAGAAATGTGCATTGTGATGGCTGAGAGAGTGTTATTTACAGATTTATTCTGACTTATGTTTTCAGGCTTTTCTAGGACGGTATTGAAGCTCTTTCACCAAGACATCTTAAATTACCTGAAGGTTAAACTGGTGGGCTCTCCACCTTTAGCTAGATTGTTACAATATTCATGATAAAATGTAAATTTGCAACTGTCTCCTTGTGTGCAAAATCAAAGGATGCTTGCTCCAGCATTTTCCCATTCTGCTTGAAGTGCTGCAGAATACAGTTCCATAAAAGTTCCTTTATAGAATTGTGTTTAAAAGGATAATTAATACAGGCTTGGTATGTGCTTATGGATGAATTGGGGTCATAGCTTTTATATTTAAAAAAATGTGGACCTGTTCTAAAAGCCTACCCAGTGTATATTTGCAATACCAGTAATGTTTTAAGGTTGCAAAGCTTTAATGCAAATAATTGTCTCCTAAAATCATAATATGGTCAAATTTCTGTATTATTATCCTGACCTTTTGATTTACAAATATGCACAGGAAGCGATTCCAATATAAAACTCGAGGTTAGTACTGAATCTAACCTTTACACAAAGCAACCAAATTCACACTTTGGGATTTTTTTCCCTGATGTAATGGAACACTTGTTTTTTCCAACAGGCAGCTTACAAGATGTATTTTATACAATTCTTCAGTGCTTCACACAGCTAATTACAGGTATAGTTGTATGATTTTTTTAAGGTGTCATTTCACAAATTGGGGATCCTGGTATCCTCCAATCAAAAATACATTTTTGCTAACACAATCCCTTATCCCTGGCTAACTTACTTTCCCAAGGGAATGGTTTGTGTTTAATATGCAGAGGTGCTGCAGGGATGAGGAGGACACTGCCTAAGTGTTCCCTAAGAAAAGCTGCCTTCAAAAAATCATGCTAAAATGAAAGAACAGAAGAAGACCACAACCACCATTAGTTTTTCTTCCACAACTGAAATGTAGTATACAAAATATACCCAGCATGTAATTTCAAGGAGAAAAAAAGAATTAAATTCTTTTTTCTTATTAAAGCCTTCTATTCATCCCAACAGTATCTGGCAAAGCAATAGGTATCTTGGTCTTGGTAATTATTTGTGTATTCTGGAAAGCAATGCACTGGTATTCTTTTCATGATGGAATAATTATCAGCACTTACCAATAAAAAAGCAGGACTAACAAACTTCCAGCAGAGTCTCCAGTAGAGGCCTGGTTTGAAGCCCATCATTTGTTGGATGTCTTCACTGAACCTGTCCACACCTAGAATGGATGTGAGCAGATGCAAGCATGAGACTGACTTCAGTCTAAACTGATAAGGTGCTGGCATACCCAAAGTATCTTTTTCAGAAACCAGACATGAATGGCTTCCAAATCAGAAGGCATAAGAAATAAAAACATTAATCTCCTTTCAATGCCTGGGTGTGTCTTTGACAACACTCTATCTGACTTAAATGCCTGTGAGCACTTTAGGCCTGTTGCAGAGAGCAGCATTGCCACTGAAAAGAGGCATTTCAAAAATATCTAGAATTGAAGTCGTAAATAGTACACAATTTTAAAAATAGTTATGGATTATTGTAACCTAATTCCTCTGTTATTATTAGTACACTGCAGGAAAATGTAAACCCTTACACAAACTGCTTGCTGATTATAAGGTAGATTAATGAGATTCTTAATTTATTAAAGGAGATTTCTTTGTTCCACTTAAGACATACTTACTTTTCAGTGTTTCATTGTACATCACAGAATGTTCTTTATTACAAATATAATTTCATATTTATGACTTTTCCAGAAAACTCAGGCAATTCTTCTGTTTATTGTAAATATGTACAAAACTCCACCACATTAGAGTGGGATGATTAACACTGATATAAAAAGGGGAAAAAAGCATCCTTCTCTGTCTTCTGTAAAAAGAAAACAATCTCTGACTTTACACCTTAGAGGGAGTGGCTCTGTGCATTCTGTCATGTCAGACTATTTGTTTATAATTTATTTTGCTCAATGTGTTCAGAAAGTTTACTTATAATCATGAACCCATTATGTAAACAGTAGAAATGCAACTTTTTTCTGTGAATATTTGTTTGTTAGAAAGCATGTACAGTTTTCCATAAAGATTATTTTTCTTTGTGGATAAGTTCAGCACAATTTATCTAATTTATTTAATGTAAATAATTGGGACTGCTTGAATTAGTCCGATGTACAATAGGATGCAAAATATTTTCAGGGTATGGACACTTGAGTGTAAATGTCTCAAAACAATTTCCAGCCCCCAATATTATGTCCAGGTGAAGAGAAATAGCCAAGCAGGATCTGCAAATGCTCTTTAAACTTAATCTGATTCTATTTGCAGTGCTTTCTGTGAACTTTAAAGTGACTGAATTTTAACTGGTATGAACACTGACTGAAATTTATCATTGTGGAGAAGGTCAAAGACAAAGGTATATCAGAATTTTATTCAAATGTTTCCAGACAGATGCACTTGGAGCTCAGACAGTGCTTGGTGCTCAATTTCTGCTGAAAATGGGGGATGACTGGGCCATGCTCTCAGACTGCACTTTTGCACAATTTGCTATTTTAGTACTGCATGTCTTCAAATAATTTTCTAAGAATCAACCTTTAAGCAGAACACAGCCATAGCTACAGATAACAGTACCTGTAGGGCTAAGAGATACTTAAAATTTATTATCAGGAGCTGTTAAATACCCAGAAATAGAATATTCACCAGAAAGATGATATCAGTGTTGCACGTGAGGAAAATTGGTAACAACTGAGCAGTCATAACTAAGGAACATCTGCACAGTAAAGCAAACTAGCTCTCCCTTCTCTTACATACACAGTTGGCCTTTGCCAGAACAAACTTCACAGTAAATGGTCATAGATATAATTTGAACTAAATTTCCATGTTTTTAGTCTGTGCCAAAATGTCAATGCTTGCCTTTAGGCTGGCTTAATATTCAGCTGGGTCATTAAGGCAAGAGGGGTCTATCAGAAAAAAGAGGCAGACAAGATCATGCCAGATTTAATAAGTTTAAATAGCACCTGGGGCTGTAATAAGTTCTTTATAAAGCAACAGGTCATGCTATGTCAGTAGAAACATCTGTCAGCTGCTCAAGAAAAATGAATAGATGTTTTCCCAATTATGGGGAAGCTGCAGGAAGAAAAGAAAAAAATTCTAAGGACAGAGGGTGTAAAATAAAATTTTACTAACTTTGCCCTTGTTTGTGAACCACCTACAAAGCTTAGATACTGTAAAGTGCAGTAAGTCCTGTTTTAATAGTAGCAGAAAGTAACTTTCCCCTAAAAACTGAAGAAGCCTCAACTTCCAAGCTAAGCTGTGGTCACTCATCCACATTCAGCTCTTTTACTGGGATTAAAGTCTGTGAAATAAAGTGCCTCCAGTATTCTGAGAGACAACAGCCTATGTGCTGCTTGCTCCATGCTGATGTTGGGGGACAGAATTAGTGCATTAAAACTAGAAATTATTCCTTTAATAGATTGAACAGCTTTATGCATGGATGCCATTCTTTCACTTCACTCACTCTCCAACAGTTCTTTAACTGCAAGATGAAGTTTGTTAGGTTAGAAGAACATGGCTAGGCAGAATGGATGGATAAATAAGTGACTGAGTGAGGTAAATAGCCATAAGAATCAAAATGTCTAAGAACCCTCTGAATCCTACATTAGCTATAAACACCACATCTGAATAAGAAATGAAGAGTCCTTTCAGAGGAAGAACAATCCTGTAGGGAATCAGGGCAACTCATTCAATACAGACTTAAAGGGAAGAAGATTTGCAGGCTGCTGTGATATTGAAACCTGGTAATAGTGAAAAGGGTTGTGATCTGCCAGGAACTAAAGCATGAGAATAAAGAGGAGATGAGGAAGGAAAAGAAGAGGTCATATTTTTAGGTGGCTATAGCACATCACTGCACTCTGATTGGCATAGAGTGATTCCAGTCTTATGTCAGAGGTCAACTAAATACTCCTAAAACTTGACATACTTGGGATAAAGTAAATCACTACTCCCTTTTTGTGGTCTACATTAGTATCAAATACTAGAAATATATTTTCTGGTATCTAGTGTGTTGGGTATTTTATACCATTCTATGAAATAAATTGCTAGTGTTTTACAATGAAGTAGAATATTGTCACCAACAAAAGGGATGGATGTAGGAATTATTATAACTCTGTAAACATCACCTTTATTTGTGTTGTGTGGAGAGTCCTTGAGATTGGCCCTGGGGGACTAATGAAAAGTGAAAACAGGTGAGCCTGTATTTAGGCTAATCTACTTCTTTTCAAAGTACCAAGTCTAAATCTGCTACTGCAAGTCATCAGCAGTACTAAGACTCATAAAACACTGGCAAAAGGAGTAACTTTTCCATCCCATCACAGTCCCTTTCACAAGGCTGTTTGCTTTGGCTTTATGCAGGGTCTCAAAGCTTGGCCCACTGAATGTCTGCATTCCTGTCACTGCTCATAAATCAGGAGAAAATCACTCCATGAAACCTGACTTGTCATGGTTTTGTGTGTACAAGGCTATGCTGTTTTCCCTTAAAATGATGTGTAAACCCATCATAAGCACTTGGCATTTCAGAAAAGCTTTTGCACATGCAGAATGAGGAGCTTACCATAAAACCAGGAAACTCCAATTGCCTCCATTAGAACAGCAAACAATATTGAAGTCCCAGCTGCAAATGTGTCCAGAAGTGTAAGCACATAAATTCCACCCTGCAATGGGGAGTTAAAAGATGCAAGGACATGAAGTTACGAATAGAATAATCTCAGAGTTTAGTATCCACTTAACAGAAATCTGCTTTACTTGAGGCATTATCTTAACCCAGGTATTTTAGTATGGATCTGATGGATCCATATCTTAACCCAGGTATTTTAGTATGGATCAGACACGGGCTTATAGTTGCATACAAAATAGTGGGATCAGACTTGCAACTCTTCTAAAGAGGCTTTTTTTCACCTATGGTCCTCCCGTCACTGGGAAACAGAAACCTCAGCTTAGATTAATGAGTTCCCTTGGCACTCCTGTTCAGTGGAGGTTTGGGGAAATGATCAGCAGCTTGTAGGGCAGGGCCTGTCTGCAGCAGTTAATGAAGAACTTCCCAAATTAATGGCAGGAATGGAGCACTCCAAGAGTTTCCATAGGCCCTTATCAGCCACTTTGTTCCCACGGCCATTTGCTCTGCAGGCCAGTGAGTCTGCAGTGTTGGTCTGGTTTCCCTTTTCCCTGACTGCCTGCATCCTCACCCACTGTTCCTCCTAAGGCAGGAGAGGATGTTAATTCTGTCACCAGCACAGCAAGAAGTGCTGTGCCCTGTTCTGTCTCTGGGCTGTGGTATTTGCCAACCTTTGCTCAGTGGAGACAGCAAACCTTGTCTTCCTTCACAACAGCACATTTTGTGCTTCAGTGGTTCATGACTGAGAGCTGGAAATGCATTTACTGGAGTATTGTTTGATTTTTTTTTTTTTTTTTAGCTGCAATTTCACTATTTGCTGTGTTTGTGTGTATATGTGTAAATTACTACTCATTTTACTGAGTTTTAGCTACAGAGGAATGGAAAACCATGAGATGCAGATTTGTATCAAAATGAACCTGGATAAAGTGTGTCAGGAGACTTTATCACACATAAACAACTGAAATGGCTGCAGTAGATTTTTGTTAAAATATCTTTTTACAACCAAACTTAATCAGATTTATGCCTGTTCAGAAAGGGAGGAAAAAAGGAATTATTTTCTGTGGTTTTACCACCAATGGTATAAATAGCACTTGTATTATTTAAATCTGTAGGTGATTTTAGTCTCTGTAATCAGTTGCCTTTTATTTTTTTAAAATATGATTTTTCTGGAACATCTGTGCATATTTACAAAACTAGGGAGAGCAGTACTCGGGCCTCATGTAGGTTTTTAATTCTGTGGGGACTTGTCCAGAAATGGAATGAAGTTTGGTTTTTCTGTTAGAAAATGTTGCTTCTTCAATGACATTTGAGTTTGACCTCTTGTTTTTGCTCTACACCTGCTCCAAATGAATGCATTTGCAATCAATCTTCAAGTGAATAACTAATAAGATTTTGTAAGAAACATGCTTGTTTCAGAAACAGCTTTATTTTGAAAATAAAGCCTTAAAAATTCAGGGGCAAAATCAAACAATCTCATGTGATGTTCTCACAAGGGTTTTCCTTTTTTTTTTTTTTTTTTTTTTTTTTTTTTTAAACATCAGAAATGTTGTTCTTTACTTATGTGAACCAATACATTTGGGCTATTCTGGACAGTTTGTGAGTTCCAGCTGGGGGGTGAACTTCAGCCTAAACAGGTGCCATTATTTAAAAGCTAGAGTTAGGTCATTATCTTGAATAGCTTTAGCTCACTTGGAGGCAGTGGAATTGCACCCACTAGCACCAGTTCTGGTTCTTAACACTGAATTTCTTCTGATATTGTACTTCAGGAAATTTTATCCCAGTTGCAACTTTGAATAAACAGGAGCATGTTTAGTGTTCAGGTATCAATAGAAATAGCATGATATTAAAAGGATAGATATTTTAAATATTTTTAGAGTTTCAAATATTTCTCAGTTTGAGGAAACTGGAACAAAAATAGTGGGGTATTTTAATGTAAAAAGAACTTTGTTATTTATAAACTTATGCCATTTCAGTAATCTTAATAATAGATGTGGGAACCATTTCTAGGGATGGAGAGAGGTTCAGCACATCTGCTTTCATGATGGTTTCTTAAAGTTTCAGTTGTTTTCTGAGAGTTTTGGCATCTGTGTTAACAGGCCTCTCTCTGTCTTTTTTATGGTCAAAAAAAAAGAGAAAATTCTGTCCTGCCTAGAACACATTAATTTAATTCCTTAATTAGTTATAAAAAGCCAGATGAGGCAAAACATTCAGTCTGATGGTAGTGATAACTTATCCTGAATGTTTAGTAACTTGTGTTTTTCTTTGTGCTTTATGTGGTGTTAACAGTAAAAGATGTCAAGATCTAGGTAAGTCAAGGAACATGAAGAAACAAGGTGGGGAGAGGAGGTCATTGCTCTGCACTCCTTCCATAAGAAGCAAGTGTCTTTTGCTTTTTTTAAGAAGAGAACAGCCAGGTCAGGTCACTTGAAATTCTTAGTTCCTCACAGAGAAATAAGCACTCTACACAATTTCATTTAATGTGACTAAAAAATCCAACACCAAACCAAACAAAACCCCCAAAAAATGCAAAAGAAAGCACACAGAACCAAATAAACCCAGCAATAGCACAGACAGTTGTTCGGGACAAAGACTTATAGGCTTGGCTGATAGCAAATTATCTTGTGCCAAAAACCAGAAAAACTTCATATATGTTAGATTAAAAGTGATGTTCTGAACAGAAGTTGTTTGAGAACTAAAATTAATAATAAAATATAGTAATCTGAACCTATCCATATTTAATCTGACAAGGTTAATGTCATATTTTAGGTAACATTTTGATGGAAACTTTTGTTCTACTTACATTGGTAATGCAAAAAAGAGCAAGTAGGAAAGTGCCAAAAGAAACACCAAAGGTGAAGAGCTTTCTGTGCTGCTTCAGAAGGTGGAAATCATCTGCCAGGCCAGTGATGACAGCCTCCATCCCACCCATCTGAGAAGGGGAAGGCAAAAACTCTGGTTAAACACTACTGGCTGTGGAAATACAGACGGAAGAATGCACAGCAGTTTGTGAAATGAATACCCAACCACTCTATGGTTTCTGATATTTCAGCTGTAAGTCACTGGTGATATGAGGATTTATTTTCTTCTGGTAAAGGGCTGGGCCAGGGAACTGGACAGCAAGAGGGGAGGGGAGGTTGTTGCTTCCATAGCTGCATCCTCTGAGGACTCTTGGCTGACTCAACAGAACAATAAGTACACAGTACTTAGGGGAAAATAAATACATCTGAATATACTCTGGGGGAAAAGCTGCTAGCTTTAAGTAGCTAAGCTCCTTAAGACAGTTCTTTAAATAAAGACAGGCAGGAAAAGCACCTAAAGGAATTGTACTGAACAAAGATTCACATTAACCATTGATGAACAAAATCCAGTTTGACAAAAATCTTTACAGACTTGGAAGAATTACTACAAAGGAAGCTTGATGTAATTTTTTTGTTCACAACATGAAAGAATTTTACTTTGCTTTCTAGAAGTTAAAGAGGAACACTAGCTATTGTTTTGCAATACAGGAAAGGTACTTTCCAAATTTTCATTTAAATTGCTGGGTTATGTAGGTGGTTATGAATTTTCATTTCTTTCCATTAATGAAAACCTTCTGCCCCCAAACTCCAACAAAAAGCTTTGGAAAATAAATTTCAGTCTTTTATCATAGTAAAAAAATTTATTTAATATTTTGGAGAGGCTTAATTCTATGCTTTTTGTGATGCTAAAAGACCAAGGCAAGAGCTGAAGTGCCTGGTGCAATACAATGGCTGGTTAGCAGGTGCTTACACAGCCTGTCTCTTCCCTATAAGACTTTGATTAAAATATTCCTGGTTGAAACCAGTAACAGAGAATTATCACCATAAAAAGTACAGCAGAACTTGAGTTTTCTTTGGGAAATTATACAAATCTTGAACCAGTAAATTCTTCCCCTTTTAGAAGGAAAGAGCTAAACTTGGCCACAGTTCACTAGTTCACTGTGTTTTAATTAGCTCCAGCAGAAAGCCTTTTCTCTATTTGTAGGAAAAATATGTTCTGTAATCTAAAGTGTCTTTGTCACTTCTATGTTTCTTTACATTGCCCTACATTTACTGATTTACAAAGTTAACTGTTTTGGATCTAGACACTTCTGAGCATAAATTTTCTTCTTCCTTCTTTTCATTTGTCATCCTTTTCCTATTGGTCATTCATGTCCTTTCATTTTGCTAAACCCTTCATTTCAGTCCTTTGTATTTGTTTACAGTTGAAAAATTGTCAAACTACAATCCCAGATATAATCTTCCCTCAAACTTTTGTCTAAGGATGCAGATCTTAGTCTATATAGACAAACTTCATTGACCTCAGCTGGAATCCAAAAATCTAAACACTTTGGAAATATTTAGTCCTGAATCTGACCTTTACAGCTTAGCCCTCACTCCACAAGATCTCATTCAGCTATTTGCCAATGATTATCAAAGCTTCCTACTGCAACTCCATATTTGTTTTAAGTTTTGCTCTTTTCCATGTCAATTCATTCTTTCCCTTTCTTGCCTTTGAAAAGGAATTAACTTTCCTGAGGTTGTAAGCAACGGAAACAGTGCTTTACCATTTCAGCAAGAAATTCCTGCATCAACTTTGTACATTCTAAACTTCAAAAGAGACTTCTATGCTTCGGAATAGTAAGAAACCCCTACCCTACTAAAGAGGATGAAAGTTTGTCCATGGTTCACTATTCCTTAAAGACCCTATTTGGTTCTGCAGAAATTTATCAACCTTTAAGCTAAATATAACAGGAGGCCTTGAGACCTTTTTGCTAGAAAAAAGCAGTACAAAAGTTATTTGGGGACTTGGAATATTTTCTGGGATGAAGTTTCTGTGATCCTGAATATTGTGTTGTAAAACTCATCAAAGAGCAAATACACTTGTTAGACCAGACACTTTACAGTAAGATTATAGGGAAATGAAACCGCTATGGAAATATTCTGACATGATTTTAAAATTGTGATTAAATTTACAGGAAATTCTGTATCATTGCTTGTAGAAAAACAATGGGAGTACCTTCAGGCATTGTCTGTCTAGAGCAGATTAATGAATTTCAGCACATAAAATAATCCCTTCTAGAAACCACTCTACTCAATGTTTTATTTGTGTTTTGCAAGCAGGGCTCCAGAACCTTTTTGCAGGTTCATAGCAGTAATAATTCATAGTAGTGTTGTTGGACCTTTAAATAGTAATAACTGTTGATGAACAGCCTCTCTGTAAAGTCATTAAAAGTAGCAGGGAGTAAATATTTACTGACTTGTCCAAGATTTAATCTTTTCCTAAACCTCTTAATGATGGAGAATCTCTATAATACAGTGAGTAATAGTTATTGCTATGCTATCTATGACTGTGCAAACAGCTTTGGGAAATGTACAGAATGTTTACTTGAAATGTAATCTCCTGCTAAAGGCAAATGCCTCTTTAGTTACAAAATATGACAGGAAAAGAACAATGTCACGTCTAGAAGGAGAAAATACTCACAGAACTGTCAATGCCAAGTGTAAGGAGCATGATGAAGAACACCACAGCCCAAAATGTAGATCCTGAAAGAGTTGAAATTGCCTCTGGGTACAGGATGAAAACTAAACCAGCTCCTGGAATAAAAAGGGGAAAAAGAGGTGTCACTATTATGTTTCTTCACAAAAATGCTCATTTTAATAAGATAAATTGACTTTCATTTCCATCCTTGTCACGCTCTGTGTATTGTTAAAACAGTATTTGCCTTATACAAAAATATATCTAAAATGCTTTTTTAATTTACTCCTGATGGTATTAAAAAAAACCCCTATCCCATTGTTTTCCACTTTGAATAATATTTTGTTGGATTTGCAGCCTTACTAGTTATTTTTCAGCTATGTAGTGGAGAAGGAATTGTGTGGATGTGTTGCCTTTGGTAGGAGAACTCTTGGATGTGATGAGAGGGGCAAGAGCTGAGGCCATGGGTGACCTGTTCCCAGTGAAAGGGTTACAGAGCTGAGTTTAGCAGAACCATCCAAACCAGTCACCTGGGGCACTGAACAGCAATACCTTTGTAAGATTCTGTCCAGTGGTTAACACCTGTTTGTTGAATGGAAAAAACCTGTGGGGCAAGATTCTGGGGAACCTCAATTCAGTAGAGGTGATGCAATAACATTTACAGTTCACATTTCAACAAGGGATTTAAACACAGAGTTCTGGTTCCAAGTAAGTTAATTCAGTTCACTTCCATGAGATTTTCACACACTTGTTGGAAACAAATACAAACATATTTGCAGAGAAATGGTGGGGCAGAAGAGTTAAAATTAATATAGGATTAACTTCCTACCTTCAGTAGCTACATCCTCAATTTTAACTTTGTGCTCATGAGCCATGTAGCCCAATATGGAGAAAATGGCAAATCCTGAGATGAAACTTGTGACACAGTTAATGGTGCTAGTCAGCAAAGCATCCCTAAACATGGAGAGAAGAACAGCCCAGTGAGAGAAAAACTTTCAGAACTAGATGGGAATTTTCTTTAACGTATTCCCCCATCCTTCAGTTCACAATGCATTTATAATATATCTGCTTTCTGAATTTATATTTCATTGGAAAAGTGATGTTTGTTTTTATTTCAAAATTTAATGTTAACAAAACATCTAAATGCTGGGATTTCTCAGAAGGTGCAGAGTGATTCTGGTTGAATTTCCATGGTGGTGATTCAGCAAAACACTTTAAAACTGACTTGATTTAAAGTGCATTCCTAAACTGGAGTGCAATGTAAAATATCAGAAATATAATCCTAAAGCACAGAAACACTTCTGGAAGCTGGGATCTTTCTGCTTTTTGTTCCTGCACCAATAAGATTTCATCCTGTGTTCACTGTTGCACTTAATGGTACTTTTGAAAGGCAAACACCAGCACGGTTTACACAGCTGTCTAAAGTCCAAACCTAATCCTATTCTGCTTTGGAGAGCAGCAGATATCTTGGCAGGTTCCTGTTACTAAAACTTCACTCAAGAAGACAGTATTTCAAGATTTGGGTTGGTTACTATGTCTACACAAAACTCACCATCATTAATATATGACTGAGAATAAAAGGATAGCTTAAAACTTCTTTTAGTTGCAGTCAGAGTAAAATAAAATAATTGTGCAGCAATAATGGAAGAATAGGCTCTTACCTGTAGCAGTTGTTGTCAAACTTGTTGTAACTGGCAAATGCAATTAAAACACCAAACCCAGCTCCTAAGGAGTAAAATATCTGAGTGGCTGCATCAATCCATACCTGCATAACGACACCAACAGTGCCAGGGTCAGTTCAGCCACAAGGATACAGCAGCAGAAACGCAAGGAAGGGCTTTTGGAAAACAACTGGCATTCATGCTAAGGGGAGTGTAAGTGTCACATGGAGCCTGGCCCTGGTCTGGAATGGTCCCACCTGAGGTGGTGAGGGGGGAGCAGGAGCAGGGAAAGTCCTCAGAGCACACAGACACTGCTGCCCTGCTGGGCTGAGCACTGGGACAGGGAATTCTGAGATTTCACCCAGCACTGAAATGATTGCAGGGTTGTTCTCCTGAGTGACAGAAATGCTCTTGTTCCAAGTTAGTTTGGAATGTACAACCAGAAATCTAAAAATAGTTAATGGGTCAAGAGTTATAGGACATTTTCTTTCCCATACCAGAGCTTCCTTTGTGTGACTGTTAGTGCACTTTACATGATACTTCCTTGGTTCAGGAGCTGAAACATGACAGATGTGCTGTGAACACTGTGCATGGTTCTCCATGCAGATTTATCTCTCAGCTTTCTCTCTTAGTTGGAGAAAGAGTTATTTCTGTGATAGTCATTAAATTTCAGTTTAGATCCAACTTGATAATTTTAAGGATTGTCCACCAGGGAAAATATTTTAAAAGTGTAATATTTTCTAAAGTGTCCGTCTTAGCAATATCCATTCATCCAGTTAGGAACAATGCCACAGTCCTAGTTTCCTGAACCAGAAACCTGAAAATAGCCTTGGTTAACCCTCTTCTGTTGTTACACAGAGATTTTAAAATGAAAATCTTCAACAGAAGTAGTAAAGTCAGTGGTATGAATAATACTCAACATTTCTCAAAATGAGACCTGCAATGTTTGATTAAATCTGCCCAGAACTCTGAAAGAACTATGAAAAGCACTGGATTTCATCATTCATCCATCTCTACAAAATCAGATCTAATATATCTATTCAGCAGGAACTTTCTAACAGATCTAAGCAGCTTATGAGCTCCCCCTGCATTGGGAGTTCAGTGCTACACTTTTATATCTGGCCTAGTGGAAGGGCGAGAGTGCCTTCTCCCATGCTGACATGATATATGAAAGCACTTAGGCTGGTGATCTCTTTTTTTCTCAACATAGATGATGGATGCTTTCAACTGCTGCCTGCTGGACACTGTGAACCACTTATGGTACTCTGGGTTTGTAGAAAAACTTTATTTTATGAACTGTGGAGAGTTGATTACTTGAAAGATAACATGAAGAGCAGTCTATGGAGTGCTTATTGCTAGCCAGTGGATGGGAGGATATTTTCTCAAATTGTAGCTCATGCAGGGTTTTAATGGATTTCTTTCAATGAATAACAAAACAATCCTGTAACCTTAATTCCTTACTCATTCTTTTTATATAGCAGCTATATCTTAATATTCTATATTCACACAAAGGTTGAGATCACATAGGATTGTTCTCCCTGAAAACCGTTTATCTGAATAGGAATGCAGAAAGTGGGATGCAGTCTCCTATGTTTGTTCCTGTGTTTTGAAAAATTCAGATAACTTTTGCTGTTAATGAAATTCCTGAAATTTTTAAACATCAAATTTGTTAAACTCAAACCAGATCTGCACACTGCCACCATAAGACACTGGTTTTTAGTGGTTCTGTGTCTCTCTTGTATCTTGCCAGTGTAGTTGTACTCACCCTTTCTCACCAATCGAGCACCCCTAAGCACGTGCTTAAGTCCTGTTGACTCCCAAAGGATTTAAGCACATGCTGAAGTATCTGTTGAGTAAGAGTCTTAGCTCATAACAGCTGATTAGGAAACAAATTGAGAAGATCAAGGTGAAGGGAAAGAAGGGCAGAAACCAGAAATTAAGATTAAATGCAGAACATTTTCTTTGTTCTAACCAAGCAGGCTGTAAGAGAGCAGGGCTGGTTCTGCAGTTCATGCTCAGGCTTCTCATTGTCACAGCTTCTGATCAATGTGTGATCTAACATTTTATGATAGAATATTGTTTTTATTTGTATTAAAAATCAACAAATAAGAACATTTTACAGTAGGCAGTCATCAGTATTTCCAGCCTTCTTCAGTGTTTAGGATAACTTATGTGCAGTGCAGTTTGTAGCTCCACAAAAAGGGACACACTTTGACCATGGTCAGGGTGCTCTAAGGGCTCTTAGCCTTGGCAGAGTCCTCTGTGGGTCACCATCTGTGACTTAGAGTGTTTCTTTGTCAGATTCTTCATTTGGAAGAAATAGAATCATATATCACATCCACGATGCATTGACATAGAAACAAAGTGGGATTCTGTTCTTTGGAGCCTGAGAATTAAAGATTAAACCCACATTGCAGCAGCAAGGATCAGTCTCCAAGGGGGAAGGGCTGGCATGACAAAGCAGTTGGTGCCACTTCTCAGCACAAGTGATCTTTAGTCTTTGATTATTCCAGTGTAACTTTTTGTTGTTTGAAAAATGTAGTCCTAGAAACAAATAACTTTAGGGTCATCTAAATAGCAGCTGCAGAAATATTAAGCCAAGAAAGGGCAGCACACAGAATGTCATTCCAGCAGCAGAAGGCAGATGTGATTATGGAGGCCTGGTACAGCTAGTACAGCTCCATAGATACCTAGCTGAAATTGTGGTGTTTATTTCCAAACAGCACTTAAAATATAAAATTTTAATATAAGCACCTGCTTTGGTCATCTTGACATCTTTGTATTTATATGTATGCATAAATGTGAATTACTGGGATGGCTACTGCCTTGTGACAAAGGTGGGTGAAAATCCCATATTTGAAGTTTGATTGGATTATTCCAAAATAGACATGGGGTCTGGGTCTCTTTTGGAAGAAATGCCTGCTTTCAAATTTAGCATTAAAAAGCCAGGAATGGATTTTTTGGCTAAGAATATTAAAAATATGTCTGTATTATAACATTTGAGGTATTTTTTAATAATTCAGGAAAATCAAGATAGGCTTCATAGGAAAGGTACAGTGCAACTATGGGCAGACTGTAGACATTTCTGAAAGCTGCAATTTTTCAAGATGGTGCATTTCCTTCTAGTAAAATGATGTCTCTTTTCAGGTTTATAACCATTTGAATGGCCTTGTGACCCACCCATAGGGATACTACTGTCTTAGAAATGTTTTATGCTATTTTTAGTATAGTAGAGGGGAGTTAATGTAGTCTTTGTTTTTTGTAGGTCTAAAATGCTGCCAATTTCATGTATTGGTGACTGTAGGTGTAGATTTTGCTTTACAATGTATGAAATAAGTCAGTTCCAAGTTACTCCACAAATTGGGTTGGTTTGTATATGTTCAATGACAGAGTGAAATGTACATCACTTTCAATATTAAGATAAGATCATGCTTTTGAAAATATTATTTGTATAAAGGACCATGGTTTGATTAGATGAGCTAGTCCTGATTTTGTATGTTTATCAAGGTTTGCATAGGCCAGTATTTTTGTTTTCTGGGTTAATATTTAAGCTAGAGATTCAGAAAGCAAGATTTTCTTCTTGAGAGAATTCTTAGCCTTTTGAGTACTAAATTTTTGCATGACTTCAATTTCCAGTATAAAGGATATTGAAGTTTACTGGGTGCACAGTCAAGGATTGGACTTTTTAGGGTCTATAAGTGCCTCCACAGAGGTTTTTTGTGATCTGAATTGTTTAGGTTCAGAGTGAGATAGTCCTGTTTGGGAGAGTATGGAATGTTAAACTGTCAGAGAAAGGGAACCAGTGCTGAGGCAGAAGTGTGGCTATTCAATTTCAGAAGTTAGCTGTAATATTTTCAGTTTCAATAACAAGGGCAATATGTTTCATAATTAGGGAATGAGAACAGAAGAATACACTTACTGTGGCTTCTTTTAATCTTCTGAAATCTATATGCAGGTATGCATTTATTCCATTGTATGCACCAGGCAGGGTTATTCCATGTATTAATAAGACAAATAATACAACATAAGGCAAAGTGGCTGTTATCCAAACAACCTGTAGACAACAGAGATCCCAAAGGTAAATCAGCTGTTACAGAAGATGTAAGAATATGTAATAAGTACAGCTGGCATTTTCTTGGTTTAGTCCATTCAGTTTGATGGAGAAGCTCTTTTTAGGACATGAGGGAAAATGCTGTTACATGTCAGGAATATTTTCATATATAAGTTTACAGACACCAGTAGGAGACAGTTTTGACAAAGAGAAGACAGTGTCAGTGTGTGTTAGAATGCTGATTACTCCTTATCTCTGTTTACTGAAAAGTGCAGTCATTGCCTGATGTTAAGTGAAACTTTCATGAAAATGTACAAAAAGCTCTCAGATGTATCCAACTCTAGAATTTCTGTTGAGATATTCTGTGAGGGATGTCAAAGAGTGATTTCCAATGACTTTCATCAGATATTTCTCTTGACATGGCATTTTATATAATAAAACCAAAGCCTCTTATATCATTGAAATATTAGTACATTTGTCTAAGAAGAAGATGCACACTTAAGACAATTTTGTTTATTTAAAACTATTTTCTGGATGAAACCACCAATGTTGAATTGAAAATAATACATTTATAAAATTTTCAGTTGGAATACCACACAAGAAATGTGATAGTTTGATCCCTGTGAATGCCTCAAAATCAGTGATTCATTCTCTTGCTTTCTAAAATCAGGAGACTTCTTAAAGTAGAAAAAGAATGCAGTCAAGACAGAAGGACAATATTAGCTCTACCTTTCCTGAAGTCTTCACTCCTTTCCAGAGACTAAAGAAAAGAATGATTACCACCACCAAGAGGCAGAGGGAGAGCTGCCAGCGGGGCAAGCCAAGGTCGTGGATTCCACGGCTCTCGTGCAGGTGCAGAACTCCCCTCCTACACACCAGACACACAGAAACACAGTGAGGTCACTGGGGGGGAAAGGCTTTTGCATTCTCATGCTGTGGCAGCAGGAATGGGAGTGGCAGCAGCAGGAGCCCTACTGGCATCGCTGGCAGTCAGTGGAGATGCTTTGTGAAGATTCTGTCAACTCCTTCAAACTATGTCCAAAGCATGTCTTGAGCATGCCTTGTCTTAAGTAAAAGTTTCTGAAAGTAATCCTTTCTTCATGAATAGAGAGATGTTTGTCCAATTCTGCTAACAAGATAAACTCTCAGAATTCAAACGAGTCAAAAAGAAAGGAAAAACCATTGGTAGTAGGACAACTAGAAGCAGTGTTTTGCTTGCAGATTGTTATTGAGAAAAGAATGAAAGTAGGTGAGAAATACATGCAAAAATGAGAGGAGAATATTATGGGGGGAAAGACTGAGAGCAAACAATAACAGATGGAGCTGACAGTGGAATAGGGATCTATTTAATTAGACTGGACAAAATGCAAGAGAAACAAATAAATTGTTTAAGCTTTCTGATATTCTAGTCAGAGCTCTACAAATATTTAATTAAAACATCACCAAGAATCAAACCACATGGACTAGGAGCTTGGTTTATCCTAAGACTGCATCCCATGTAAGGGAGTGTAAATGACATTTGCAATGAGATTGTACATCCAGGTTCCCAGAGTCTGTCCACCTCTCTGCAGGAGGGACAGGAATGTGCAGGGCTCTCAATTTGAAGCTGCATTCAGACGTTCTGGTTCCTCCCAAGGGAAATTTCTTCTCATTCTCTCCTTCCCTGTGCTTTCTTCTGGGAAGGTTCTCCCAGTGACCCAAGAACTCTGGCACCAGTTCCTGCCTTCCTTCCACACTGCACTCAGCTAAAGGGAAACAGTTCACCTCCACAGAAATCTGCAAACAGTGATTGGTTTGTTACTATCTCTGACTCTGTTTAGTCTTTGTGCAGCACTTGGGTCCCCTTTGATTTGGCATCAGACCCTGAACAGCCAACAGGCAGCTCAGCTGCTTGGTGCTCACACATAAACCCTGCTAAAACCAAATTATTGAGGATGCAGTGGGGCAGCTGCTCAGTAGGACTCAGTAAATGAAGGACCCAGTCATAGTTTTAATAACAGGAAATGTTGGAACCAATAAATTCTTCTTATCTTGGCTTTCCCATCTGTAAAATAAGGATTACATTAAATGTGTGCTTTGTCTCTACTCTGAGCAATTCGAACATATTATGGAAGTGGTGAATATTTGTACATAAACAGGGAACCAGACCAGGAAATAAAGAAATGCCAAGGGCTGTGACCTGAAAATCACTGTCATTTTCACTCCAACACATTTAAGCTATAGCTAGAAAAAAGGATTTAAGAGTTTTAGGTGTAGAATTCTCTGAGATGGTTTTGTCAGACTGTTACTTTCTAGAGGGCTTTGAGTTTTATTCATCCCTGGACAGATTTATGTGATTGTCTTTTAGAAATTTAGAAAATTTTGCATAAATAGATCAAGGTTAAGGTCTTGGAGTAGCTCTCATTTTTTTCAATCCAAAATCAATCAAAATTTTATTCTTTGGTCCAAATATGTTTACCCAGGTCTATAACCTCATTCTTTCTCTTTTTATTAGAGGCAAGTTACTTGTCTAAATTTGATGTGCTCAATAGAAGAGTTTCATTTATATAAATTTTAGAGGTGTTGGATCTGATGGATTCAGAATTCAGGAATATCATCACTTATCAATAAATTAGTACGATAACTAACAAATGTATTTGTTAGTTAACATATTAAGTACTTCTAGGAACATCTAAGTACTTCTAAAAGTTAGTAGTCATATTTGTGAGATCAAACCCAAACAACTTGCATAAACTAAGAATCAGCAAAACAGATCAGGTGTCCCAAGCTATATTCCTTATTCTGGTCGTTAGACTATGTTTTTATGGTTTATAACTTAATGTAAATTGTAGAGCGAAGATGCTAAAAGAACTGTTAATGTATACAATGTGCAATCTATAGAAATTAACTTGCATACTTAATTTAGAAGGCAATTAGAAGCATGATAATTGTGCTCAATTAGAAGGCTCTTTTACATGCATGTTCCGTGTTATATATTTGGGCAGCCACAGTTCAGTCATCATTGCTGCCAGTTTCTTTCACAGCATGAAATGTGATTTTCCTTTACCTGTGGAAGGTTAGGCTATCTGCATGATGTGGATAGAGCCCTTTTTGCAGAGTTTGCCAGGCTCCAGGTATTTTTATTTCACAAATAGCACTACTTACATTCAACTTACAATGAGCTGTGGTTTTCCTGGCAGTTTGTGCCCACACAGCAGTGTGAGGCAGAGCCTGTGGTCCAAATCCTGCAGAGCTGAGCTGGCTCCATGCAGGCTGGCCAGCAGTGTCTGTAACTGGGCTGGGGTGCAGTGCAGAGGGAGCAGGGTGGCTCCCCATGGGGTGCCACAGGGGTGGCTGAGCTCAGGCCCAGCTCTGCCCAGGGCTGCTGTCTGAGCTGCTTGGGGGTCTCTGGATGCCCTGTAAAGAGCTCTGAGTAGGCACAGCTGCAATGCTGAAGGATATCCTGGCTCTGGGACAGTGCTGTCCTACAGCCCAGTGCACGGAGAGCAGCTGAGCCATCTGAGGTGCAGTGCTTGTGTGAGCCCTGTGTGCCTCACCCCCACCCTGGGGTGCTGGCCACAATCCAGCGGGGTGCCAGGGGTGTGCAGCAGCATCTGGGTTTTCTCTAGATATTTCAGCTCCCTCTTGTGTTGGAGAATGGAGCTGTGTGATGGACTGCAAGCTAGATTTTGGGAAACACATCATTTACCAGTGGCACCCTGGCTGGTTTATCATAAGTTATTATTTGTACTTAATCACAGGACAGACTAAGTTGGAAGGAACCCTCAAGGATGGTTGAGTACAGCTGCTACATCTGCATAGGACACCTCTAAGAAATGTCCACATCTCCCATGCCTGAGAGCATTATTCAATCACTTCTTGAATGCTGCAGGCTTGGGATTGTGACCAGTTCCTTGGGGAGCCTGTTCCAGTGGCCAGTCACCCTCTGGGTGAAGAACTTTTTCCTGATATCTGACATAAACCTCCCCTGACACCACTTCAGGCTACTCCCTTGGGTCCTGTCACTGTCACCACAGAGAGAGATCAGTGCCTGTCTCTCCTCTTGCCCTCACAAGGAAGCTGTGACTGCACTGAGGTCTCCCCTCAGGCTGAACAGACCCCGTGACCTCAGCCGTTCCTTCCCCTCTAGGCCCTTCCCCATCTTCATTGCCTTCCTTTAGATGCTCTATAATATCTTAATATCTTTTCTATATTGTGGTGCCCAAAACTGCCCCCAGCACTTGAGGTGAGCCCCCCCAGAGCAGAGCAGGACAATCCCCTTCTGTGCCCAGCTGTCCCTGTGATGGCCTGATGTCCCCAGGACAGGGATGTCACCCTGGCTGCCAGGGCCCTCCTGACTCATGTCCAACTTGCCATGGACCAGGAGGGCCCTTTTCATGGCACTGCTTTCCAGGATCTCATTCCCTGTCTGTCTCTACATCTGGGGTTGCCCCAATGGAGGTGAAATTTCTTTTTAAATCATGGTAATAGAGAAAATGGTTATCTTAATGCACTGAAAACTTTATTCTCCCACTAACAGTATTTCTAACCTCCTTTGCTGCTGTGCCCCACTTCAGCACATTCATTCCAAATTTTACTGTTTCAGAAGAGCTGAATGGAAAGGCCAGATGTGATTAGCAGAACATAGTTCTCATTAGTTCTTGTTGCCTGATTAAGTTTTTATAAGCATTTATAGGCAGAATTTATAAGCATTCTTAGGCAGAATTGCTTGTGCTGACTTTTGAAGTGGTGTTTTCTCTTTTGGGAGAAGTTGCTTCCCAACTGCTTAATAGGGATGGGTTCCTGCATCTTTGGGGTCCACAGCACTGATCACTCCATTTGCTGTCATACTGAACTATGTGGAGCCTTTGCCTGGGGCGGCATTTCCAGTGAAGATTTGTACCCTAAAGCACAAACCTATTGGTCTACAAAAGTAACCTTAGGGTGAGGAGTTTTTTTCAGGATGTTCTTGGTTCACACACAACTCATAAATTTCATAAACAAGATGTTCATAAATATGACAAATGTAGACTGTTGTAAGGGAATTCCTTGTTCTTAGGTAGGTTTTTGCAATTGCACACAGCTGGGCAGACTTGTGAATTCTGTGAATTTCCTTTACTGAATCTGGCATGAAAATTTCCCTGTAAAATTTCTCATGTAGAAAGAATGGATTACATCCCTGAGAAAAAGTATTGTCAGAGGGGAATAGCTGTAGCCCAATGATGTTGACATTTTCACTGTTTTTTCTAAAAAAATGGCCAAGATTTGTTTCTACAACAGATTGTGATTTCTTGCAGGCACAGTACCTTGTGAGAAGAATAGTGCTTTTGCTCCTCTAAACTGGTATTTTTAATTGTCAGCATAAATTAAATCAGGATGGTAACAGACCTTTTGCAGACACAAGAATGGAGAGAACAAATATAAAGTATGCCCATGTTTTTCCAAAAAAGAAAGGTTTATCTTGAATTATTTTAACCTGTGTGGAAAGAAGGTTCTTTTCATTTTCTGTGTTTAATTCCAAACCACTGAAGAGGGAAGGAATTAATATGTATCCCTAAAGAAATGTGGAGTTGACATTTTATTCCTAACTGGAATATTACTGGCTATTACTTAGCAGAAAGGCACCAGTTGATATTGGATTTTAGCTTGGTTTGCTAAGTTTACAGTTGATTTTAAGCATCTCTAATTAAGTATTGTAGAGGTCCTGCTCCTTCCTGTTGTAAGAAGTTGTCCCCATGACATCAGTGGTGCCTTGGCCTGAACTAAGCCTCTACAACTGAAACCAGACTTGGTAAAATGAAACTCTCTAGATGGCCTCAGTGTAGAAGGGCTTCAAACTTAAGCTCTGCCCAGGTCTTGAGGCTTGAAAACAAAAGCCAAATATATTCTTCAAGGCTCTCCTGTCATTGCCTTGTCATGGAATTTGCAACTTGAAATGATTTCTTCCAAGTCTGAGATTTAGAGGTTTCTCTGTTTTTCCTCCCAGTCAGATACTGGACAGCTGATAGATTTGGCCTAGATTCCAAGTTTTCCCTTTTCTCACTCAATAGAAGTAGTGACAACCAGCATATTTCTGCTGAATTTGAGGTACCTTTCTTGCAGTATTTGATGAACTGTCACATCACAGCACTCCCACTTCCTCCTACAGTTTATTCCTGTGCTGCTGGAGATAGAAGCAGCCAGCTCTGGCAGCTACAGGGCTTTAAGAAATAATCAACTCTAAATCCTTGCTCAGGCCAGCTTAGTGTGAAAGAATTATGTCCCAAAAAGAAGTGTCTGTGTCTTTCCAGAATAATCATACCAGCTCTCTGCTCGAGTCCTGTCTTGGAAGTACCTCTTTTCAGTCACTCTCCAACTGCAAGATAAATGTTTGGTGTTTCTGGTCTCCCTGCTTCCCCCTCAGCCTGCCCACCAAGGCCAAAACTTTGTGTGTGAGTGTTCTGATGTAACTGTACAAACCAAAGAACCAAGTTTAAGCTGTATCCCTTCCCATTTCCTGTTGTGACTCTGGCACAAAAGATGAAACTTTATGATCAAAAGATTCAACTCTCCTTGTTGTAAGGAGACCATGAGCATGAATTGGGTTATTTGATATAGGAAAGAAGCTGTTTTCTGATTCAGTTTATAGGTTGGATGGGAATACACTGAGACTTTGTACGAGTTTGGGTCAACACCTGAGCTGTACAGCTGGGCCTGATGAGCTCATCCAAATACTGGATAAGTGAATATAATGCCCCTTGTGATTCCCTCTTTTTACAGCTGGGAAAACAGATGTTATAGAGTGTTTTAGTTAAGTGGTTATTCTTCTCATTTTTGCAATGTAATCTAGTCATTAATAAGTACAGGGCCTAGTGACCTAATTACAGCTGTGAAATTCAGGGATTATAGCAAAATGAAATGTCAAATTCCCTTTTTGTTCTTACCTTCTGAACACTGCACCTTGAATTTTATTCATGAAGAGGAAAGGACCATAATATTTCAAGTTTCAGTGTACAGAGAATCATTAATTGAGCTGTTCCCCAGATCAGTGAAAGTAAATCAAAACATCATTAATTGATTCTACCACAACCTCACCCACTACAAAGTCAAAATCATTACTCAAGCATGAGGTGATAGCAGAAGTTGCTCAGAACCGTTTTAAAAAATAAAAGGCAAAGCAGGAAGGTAGGGATAGCATTTTACTTTACCAAGACTTAAGCCTTTTATTGTAAGGGCAGTAGATTTCACAGCTGTCATTATTTGCCATTTCAGTAAGCTCCTTTGAACTCAAGCCCCCATCTTGTTTTCAAAGCACTGAGTTTCGTTTACCCAAACCCCTGCCAGCAGTTTGTGTATCACTACTGATCTTTCACTGCTGTCTTCAGAGAAAAACAGTGGCCACAAATGTTAAAGAGCTATAAACAGAGACCCCAAGATCCCTGCTGGTTATTTATGGTAACAGTGTTTTCCCTTTCTTTCTGCAAGGTTGGACTAACTGCTTAGCAGGTGTGTGCCCTAATATCTTTCTACTCCAAACACAGAAATATTAATTGATTCATTATTCAGATTAATTCAAAAGCTGATTCAATAGCTTGATGCTTGTCCCCTTTCTCCTAATCAAATCCCATTTTCCCCTATAAGCCCATAATGAAAATATTTACACAGAGTTTGGTATCTTTGTTTTATAGTTCAGGTATTAATTTATATACCTTTTGGGGTTTGATTCCAGCTGTTTGATTTAAGCCTGCCTTTGCCTGTCTCAGCCCAGGCTGCAGAACACTCTTTTGCTTAGGCATTGGTAAAAGCCTCTCTTTCTATAACCCGGCTCTTTCCTCCTGCTCAGTGCTTTATCTCACTTCACTGAACTATTGAAGCAGTGGAACAAACAGAGGTCTGCTGTTGCTCTGAAATTTTGTGGGTAGAGCAGCAGACTAAATCTGTGAACAAATGGTTATTTTAAAGCCTTAAATTCAGCTCAATTTGGCATGCAGTCACCTCTGTCAGAATATTGCTGTGTTTCCTTGCCCTAGCAAAGCTGGTGCAAGCAAAAGTGGCACATAGAGAATGTCTGTGTCTTGTCCAGTCCCATTTTGCTCAGCAGCAATCACAGCATTAGTACAGGAAGAACCAAAGATCACAGAGGCAAAAGTCAGTCACCCAGGCATACAGACCAACATGACAGCTCCATTTTACCCTTAATCTTCTGATGCTTGCTCTGGAGGCTGGATACAAACTATTTTACCTTCAAGAGGAAACTCCCTTAGACACAGAACTTTGAATAAATAGCAAAGTTAGGTCAACACTTACTCATAAAATTCAGCTGCAGGAGTGAGCTTGTACTTGGAGTATTTAGTACCATTGCCAAGCACTGATGCATTGAAGAGTTTTGGATCTGTACAGTTTGGGCTGTTCCAGCTGTTGTGGCAGTTTGTCCAGGGGAGCTCAAATGTGAATGATGAAAATAGATAATACAGAGACCAGGCTATGATAACGTTGTAGTAGAAACCCACGTAAAGAGCTATGAGTATCACTGCATAGCCTACACCTAAAGACAAAGAAAAACTAGATTACACATTGCATTTGACATGCCACAGTATGCACAAACACTGGAATTAAACTCAATGATACATGATTGCAAATTAATTTTAGGTCTTCACACCAATAGAAAGGAAATTTTGATATTTGCATACACATATGCGGACACAATGTACCTGACCTCTAAACAAAAAATTACAGAAATGGTTCTGGAAAATGACTGGCTTTTATCAAATCCAGTTGTTTGTCAGAAAAAGAAATTAAGCAGTGCAATGTCAAAATTTGTCCTTGTACAACTCCATTGCTGATTTGCTTCCAATGCAGAAGATTGCAAGCCCATGTTAGGAGCGAAACTCACTTCATCTTCGTGATGTCAGGGACCTTGGCAACTTCTCTTGGAAAAGTAAAGCTGGACGCTTAAATGAAGTTTCCCTATGCCTCATGTTCCCACCCTGAACCAGTTTAGCACAGACACTGATCCCTCTCTTGTTTCTTTCCCATTACTACTCTCTGTACTGGCTTCCATCAGCATGTAACTGGCTCCAAACCATGCATGAAACAGCCTGTGCTGCTCCACTGAGGGCTCCAGGTGGGTTTGGGCATGCCAGTAAGACTTGGTGAATATCAGGTTGGGGCTAAAAACTGTGTGTGACATTCAACCCCTTTTACTATCTCTCCAGGATTACAGAATTCAGAGTATAAGAATTCTCTTTCGACTTTGAACATTTGCTTTGTATTTTTGCATATCATGAAGTGTGGCTGGAGGGTCTCTTAGCAAGAGCACCCCAGAAAGTGCATATTCTCTTCATGAAAATGGATATTCTCCAGTTTTGGAGGAAGTTTTGATACAAATGTTGGACCCCAATAAAAGTTGGTTGGCAGAATTGTTCAGGAATCTTGCTTTGCCCTCAATCATTCTCACTGTGTGTGCAGCTTTGTTCTCTGAATCCTCCCTCAAAGTTGTATGTGCTGCATATAAAAGGTAGGGAGTACAGTTATTTTATCAATGTCATCACTGCCACAGTGGCTACTGTCCCAGCAATGAAGTGCAAACCTTTACTTCTATTTTTCTTCAGTTTAATTTTTGGCATTGGAGGCCTAATAGTTGGAGATTATTAAAATTTCTGATTTCTTTATAAAGGAAGGAAGTAGCAAACACTGTGAGTATTAATCCAGGTTTAAAATTTGCATAAGGAACAGAAGCTGACCCTGAAGGAGTTGGCAGTTCAAAGGCTGCTGCATGTACAAAAGTTACTCTTTGCTCTGCAGGAGTCTTTTAGTCTGTAAACCAGTTTGCTCCTCCCTAACAATGGGGAAATAATTGTGAAAGTAAAGATGAAACTACTTTCAAATCCTTGGTGCTTAAATGAATCTAGTACTTGAACGCTTGAACTCTAGTGACACACGATAATCAATAGAATGGAGAGGAGGGTGGAATCCCCAAAAAGAAGAATTCTTAAGTATTAAGGTGAATGCTAAAACTATGGATAATAACTATGGATAGTAACTATGGATAATATATTAAATATTAAAATTAGATTATTTGTTGTTTAAAAAAGTTTCTGAAATTCCTCCAGTCCAGGAGGACAAGAGATGTTTAATATCAAGACTCAAAAATACTGGATCAAATGTGTTTTAAATAGCTCTTCTCTGTGAGCTTAAGAATGTTCAGGAATGAATTTGCTTTTATGTTTCTAGATTTTCTTAAAAGTAATGCTGCACCACCCACAGTCTAAAATAGACTCTGGAAAAAAATGCAGAGATGAAAACAGACTGTGTTACAAAGGTTACAGGGTATATTTGTAATTGCATGTGTTATGATAGCATCTCATTAGAAGTAGAGTGCTTAGAGTTCATAGCAATAATATTCATAGCTAAAATTAGAACTATAGTGCTGTTCATTTAGAGAAGCTGTTATGAATTTGTGTAGACTGTGTACTTTTCCTTTGAGTGAGAGATTTGAATTGTCCCAGAAACAACTCCAAAGCACTAGCAATAAAATATGTTTGCATGTTATCAGAGGTTTTAGTCAAAACTTTAAAAGTACTGAGTTTATACCAAGGTGTAAATGTCTCAATGCTTATTACTTTTTGAGAATCAAATATGCTATTCTATATTCTTGTAATAAGAAACTTAAAAATCAACAGTAATGTACGTTTAGTCCACCTTGAAAATGTCAGCTTAAAAACACAGCTGGAATGTCAACAAGAATATACATGAAATAAGTTCTATTTTCCTTTCTCATAATCTTTTTCAATCCTGAAGTCAACACAGAATACCTCTGAGCACAGTGGTATTTGGCTCAAATGCTTTGAGATCCTGAAGGTCTAATTTTTGCATTTAGGTTCTCAAAGTCCTCATTCTCATCCAAAAGTATATTAGTAATACCAACAGGAATTTTTATTGAGCAAGGATATTCAGGTTCCTGGGTGCTGGGATGAATTTTATCTCCCATGACAGGATTATAGAAGGGCTAGGTAAATCTATAGGAATTAATTTTATAATTTTGAGGTACATTATTTAATTATTTTTTGTTGCATTGCTGATTTTGCTGTGAGTTTTGGGTTTGATTGGTAGGAAAAACCCCCTCCACATTTCTTATTGTGTGGCACTAGACTGCTTGAAGAGGAAAGCTGTGTTTTGAGAAAGAAGGCTAACATTTGCTCAGTGTAACCTATATCCAAGCAGCAGATCCAACAAGTTTGGATTGCTATTGTTAAGCTCCTCAGCTTTTGCCAGTCCCAGGATGAACATGATCTGAATTTTAAGGTTCTAAGGTCAGCTGAGCTTGTCTGGTTTAATTTCAGATATGTCTGTTTTGAAAAGGCTTTTGCATAAGATTTTAGAGACAGTCTGGTATACATACAAAGGAACTTACATTTTTTGCTGGCAAAAAATTCTAAAAATTCTACAGATTCCTTAACAAATACTTGTTTCATGTACAGAACCCATGTGGCTTCTTTGACACATTGATCATTTCCTGATCAAAACCAAACACCCTGAAGCACCTAACCTATTTTTCCTTGCAGAATGATGCTGTGCACAAACAATACTCCACAACCTTTTATTCAGTGGTGCTGGAGAGTTAATCCTAGTGGTAAACACTCAATAGTAATAATGTTCAGATTTTAATAAGTGTTTTTCATTGCTGAATCTGAAAGGCACTTTACAAAAACTATCAGAATCATTGCTCCCACTTCACAGGCAGGAAAACTGAGGTACAGAGATACCACAGAAAAATCCTGTGTTGTTTTAAGTCTGGTGGCCAAACCCAGAGTCTTCACAACTCCATTTTACTGCTGTAGGCACTGGGGTATGTTGGCTCCTGCACAGGAAGCTCCATGCCCTGAGTGGAGCAGTCAATGGGGAAGACAGGGCTGAACTAACCTGGGTAGAATTGGTATTTCCAACATTTGGATTGGCAAACCCCCTCTCCACCTAGAGAGTCCCAGTTCCTCCCAGTACACAGGGGAAAGGGAGGGCAGGGCTGAGCTGCTCCTGCTCATTGCCCTCTCTTACACTCAGCCAGCAATCATCCTGAAGATGATTTCTGTGGCTTTTCCCATTTTGTTACCTTTGGTAACACAAAGAATTCAAGGTTTGGGGGAAGATCACCAAATACTTTGTCTGTGACAGATGAGAGATCCTTAGGTTGTTTGTGATCACACGTGTGTGGCACCCCCAGGTGCTGCTCAGGGGAGCAGAGGAACACTCACCTTTGAAAACTGGACAGATTTTCCAGACAGTGGCAGCCCCTTCTCTGTTATATTGTCCCAGTGCTAATTCCATATAGAACAGGGGCATTCCAGCAATGATTAAGAAGAGGATGTAGGGAATAAGAAAAGCACCTGAAAAGACAGTAAAGAGACATTGTAGTCTTTGGATTGGTTGCATTTTCTTTCTGTGGTGCTTACTTTTACCAATTAAGGACAAAACCACTGCTTATGGAAAATATAAAGGAAATAGCAGGAAGGAAGAACCCATGTATTCTTATCCCTTTTCTGCATTTTTTAAAGGTCTCAGATACAGAATCCCTGAAAGAAGCTATAGGCTTTCAGGGATCCCTAATCCCTATTCTGAAGCTATAGAAACTCCCATTTCTCCTTAATGTTTCCTCTGCCTTTTGGCTTTAAAGACAAAAAAAAAAAAAACTGTCCCTGAAAAGTAATCCCTAACTGAAGAAGAAGAAAAAAGTTGAACACATTTGCAGAGCTGAAAGGGAAAGGGACTATGAAACATTTTTTTAGGTTTTATTTTTAGTGCAGTATTTTCAGAAGGGAACACAGATCCAACAACAAAAAAGAAAAATGTGAAATCCTGTAAGTGCAGCTTAAACCACTGTATGAAGTGTTTGCAGGAACCTCTGGGTTGAAAATTAATTTCTACTGGCTAATTATATAGAATTTGGACTTCCATGAATTATTTTGGATTTTGCTATAATAAATTTCCTTATTCTTAAGGAATGGGTTAGACAGCTCACCCCTTTCCAACCTAGTGGTGCTCATGGCCATTGCTGTGGAGGATGTGGAGGTTCCTGCTGGCCCCAGGACAGCACCTTGATACTGCAGCAGGACAGAGCTGGGGCTGCTGGCACCTCCCTGGAGCACTTCACAGGGCTGAGCATCGTCCTGTGAGTCTGTACTGTCACTGAGAATCTGTCACCATTGGGAAAATCCTGGTGTGTGAGCTGCTGGAGCATAAAAAGTATTGCCAGCTGAAATACAAAAGGATCACCTAATGCAGAAACTATCTGAAAATTCCTTAGCTATTTCATATGATCCAAATCACAGAGAGATTGCCCCAGTGCATGGCTGCATGTGATGCTATAAAGCAATTATAGCTGGTGTCATGTTTAATAACTGTGGGCTCTGACAGATCTCTGCTTTGTGGCACAAGCAAAGGGTAGCTTTTATTACATTGCACAGTTTGCTTGGTCAAGAAAAGTTCAATTAATATTAAACTTGCCTGTATGAAAAATATTATTGGATTGCTTTAATAACTAGAGAGCTGACAGAGTAATTACATACATTGAATAACTGACTAATGTCCTTAGGAGTTATCTATGAAAAGGAAACTAGATTGTGAATATCATGGTTCAATTTTTCAGCAAAAGAAAAAAACAGCAGTAGCTTGACTATTTCTCGTAATAGCAAGTGGTACAAACTTTTGCAAACCTTTAAAAGCTATTGCATTGGTTTAGTAATTTGAAAACTTGCCCTGTAAAAGGAAGTAAATTTGTATTGCTCCTAAATTTATACACTTACAGGAGGTAAAAATCTGGAAGCATGACTGTATCTTTTTAAAACATGCCAGTAAGCAGAATGAATTACATGTTTAAAAAGTATGTTTGAAACTACTGTTATGCTTTTAAAAGTCTGAATAGTTTTTTCTTTACCTTTGAGCTTGCTTTTCACAGATATTACTGGTGTAAGCTGCCTTGCATCACTGCTCAGAAAGGGAATTTTGACTATATACTGGAGAATAGAATGGAAAAACAAACTCTGCTCTCTTAGTCATACCACCAATCTACTTCTAAAAGTAACGTGCTGTAACATAATGGTAAGGACAATGTATTCAGCATTCAGTCATAAGTTTAGTCATTTGAAATTTGAAACCTTGCAATGAAACAGGCAAGGTATATCAACAGAAAAAAATAGCTTAAACCTTTGAGAATACATATTAATATTGAAATATATTGATTGTATCACTTTGGGGACAAGAACCTTCTTCACAATTGAGTGTAATGTAAAATGTTGCATTTGCATAAGCTGCTACATTATCAATGATACATGGTTTTGGTAATATTTTAGTGTTGTTTATAATCTGTTTTCTATGATTGCCATGTTGAACTATTGTATGTTTGAACACTGTGCAAAAAAAAATTATATTCAGCAGATTCTTAATACCCTGCCGTTCCGAGCTCTGTTCAATGTTGAAACATACTTAGCAAAATCAGTCTGGGATACTACATATTGCTTTCACTATATCTAGTATCTGGAAAAATTATTTTAGGTGGTTTTACTGTCAGATTTCCTGCAAGGGAGCTTTTGAAGTGCCATACTTGTCTTGCTTTGATCATATCACAGCGTGTGAAGCTGACTCACAAACCTGGCTTGTATTTGGGAGGTATGGAGTTTGCAGGGAGTGATGTTTGATTAATGTCATGAGGCTGTGGAAAACATGATGCCTATTCAGGGAAATTTGGATTTGAGAAGATTAATCCTGGAGATGTGTAGTGGACATACGTATTTAATGCCAGTTTAAAATACTCAGTTTTTAAAAGTATGACTAATCTCAAGATGAACTGTGAGGTGTACTGCACTTAGGCATACTTGCTCAAGTGTCATCTGTTTGGCTGCGAGTCATTCCAGGCTTTAGTTATAGGAGGGTTCTTTCTTTTTTTTCTTTTTTTTCTTCCCCCGCCCTGCCCCCGCAAGGGATTAATAAGGTGTGGTGTAATTTTCATCAAAGAGCAGTTACACAGTATGGCAGGGTTTCGTAGCTGGGTTACTTTTCAGGTGCTAAGTGATTGAAGTATTTTGAAATTGAGATAAATACCACAGTAAGGGTGCTTAGTCATATTAGTTTGACTTAATGTTTTGGAGTTTTCTGGAAACTTCTTGTTTAGCAGCTTCTGGTTAGGTAAAAAAATAACAAAAAGTCAGGTATTTTTGTAAGCATCTTTGTATTTGTTTTTATTTTCCTTGCCAATATCCAGAATCAATTCTCATGGTGTTCGCTCAACCCTCTCTGGGATCAAGGCCCCTTTGAAGAAAAATAAATGATGGTCAAAATACCATTCAAATTTCCCCATGAAATAGATATAGAATAGAATGGTCTGCAAATTCTTGTAAACAGAAATAGATATAGAATAGAACGGTCTGCAAATGCTTGTGAACAGCCCGTGTGGGAGGTGACCAGTGTCACTCTGGGCCTGCACAGGGCCTCTGTCTTAGGCTGTTTAGGAGCAGTGTCCTATGGACAGGAGGTGCTGTTTGGAAGGATTTTACAGTCCTGTTTGTGTGAACATTGTGTGAGCCAGAGGCAAGGCAGTCCTGGTGGTCCTGTTGCTTTAGATCCAGCGGTGTGAACTGAAGCACAGCCCAGCCTCCTCTGCAGGAGCACTTGCAGTTAATGCCTGCCCTGTCTGGAGGTCAGAGCGTGTTAGGAAGGGTGGCACCATGTGTCCCTCCTGCCTGTGTCACCGGCCACAGAAACTGCAGGGCTTTAACTGCATGAATCCAGTGTCACATTTGGATAGGCCGGAGAGCTGAGCTCTGAGGAAGCAGAGCTTGGCTAACACTTCCTTCAAGCCTGCCAAGACCTCCCTACCTCGGCGAGCTGCGCGATCGTGGCCTTGGCAGGAACGCGCCGATTGCACTCGAGGGCATTCCACTCCCCTCGGTGGGAGCACACAGCTGCATCCCAAAGGCTGCACTGCTTTCAGCAATCCCTAATGGTTCCTAATTCCCTCTGCAGCTAAAAAGCTGAAGTCATTGACATCTGTAGAACTGCTCTGGTGCAAGAGCTGTACTTGACTGTCTTCTGAGTCACTTGCAGCTCAAAAGCCACAGGTTGGCCTCAGGCTGTTGTGAGCTGCTGTATCTCTGTCCTGACAGATTTCACAAGATCCACACATGTCCCTTTAAGGAACCAGTGCAAATATGGGGTTAAGACAGCCTATGTCTTATGCAAAACTAGGTTAGGTCAAACCCTCAGCTTCTACAAGAACCATCTATGTGAAACTTCAAGTGGAACCTTACACAGATTTTTTTTTTTAAGTATTGCATTTAATTAATGAGGGACAAAATACAGGACAGATTTTGCATTCCTGTATTCAGTGCCAAAGCAACTTCTTAAATTTGGTGTACCAGAATCCACACGGAGTGTTTCCTCTCTTTGTAAGCATTCCCAGCATCCTAAGGGGTGGGAAGCAAAAGCTCTAAATATTCTTCTCAGTCCTACCAGGAGGTCTCATCTCACTTTTAAATCCCAGAAAGGAAGAAGCATTAATTTACTAATGGCTGAAAGAAGATACTTTAAACAGCTGTGGTTATCCTAAAAGGATTTTTGATGCACATACAAGAAGTAGGCCAGGACAGGGGTAGTTGAAACAATTTTGAACTCTTTGTGCTTGTTAGCCTTCTGTATTTGTTACCATGGTTATTTCTAGTCAAAATGTTATACTGGCAGGGGTGTCTGCTAAAAAAAACAAACTCTGAGCAAATATGGAAGTATATTTTCCAATGGGATTGTTTCCAGTATTTGTGCAGAAAAAGTCTAAAAGCAGAGATCTCCTATAATTGCTTTATAGTATCACATGTAGCCATGCTCTGGGGTAATCTCTCTGTGATGTGGTGAACTGAAATACAAGCTAATATCTCTATTAACATTGATTAACACTGTTTGTTGGTTTGTTTTTTTTTTTCATTCAGAATAAATAGTACTCCAAACAATATCAACACACAGTTGATAGAATGTAGCACATTTGCTTGGACAACAAGGAAAATGGGTGGAAACTGATCTGTGCAGACTCTTGTGAATGAAAAACAAAATCACTGATGCAGAGCTCTTGACACCTAGATTGTACAAGATCACCATGGGTAGAAATGGTAATTGGAAAAGCAGGTGTTTCTAGTACATGGATGTTATCTGGCTCCTCAGCAGACAGGCCACCAAGCTTGCACAGCCTCCAAGGGCACCTCTGAAGGAGGGGGCTGGAGCCTGCTGCTGACAACTGGAAGAAGGGATGGAACACTGAGACCTTACTGGCCTGAGATTAAAAGCAATGAGGGTCTGTGTGGTACAGCAAAGAAATGTCAGAGCTCCAAAGGAGCATGAGGGAACC